ATTTCCAAAGCCATGCCTTTGAAGTGAGAGCACAAGTTCAATTAAGCATAGAGCAAGGCACCAGGGAGCGATGTGCTTAAACCCCTTGGTGATATTTCACATTTAACACCGCGTCCCCCCGAGGAGCGGCGCAGAAAGCACTTCCCGAAGAACTGAGAAGTATCAGGCAGTTCCAAGTGGGTCTGTCTTTGCCACTTCGTTCATCTTTTAGCTCAAAGGTTGGAGAGGCCTAAAGCAAAGTTATAAACAGGTGAGACTGAAAAAGGTGTTTTCAGAGGCTTGTGCCACGTGTCAGAACACCACGTTTAGAAGGTCTCCCCCAAATGCTTTTATTTGCTTAGAGAAAATATCTGAAGACGACAGCCATACCTTTTTAAATTTGGAGTTTGTGAGCCTTTGGATTCTTATTGGACTGACGCTCACCGTCATATTTACTATCTATGACATGAATGGGGCACGTGAAATGGAAGGGAAATGAAGCTACTAAAATACTGCACTGTCCCAGGACGTTGAAGAAAGTGCTCATTTACACGCAATGTCCTAATAACTACTCCCTCTTACCCATTTAAGTGCTCTTTGCACTCCGGTAGTCACAGTTTTGCCACTTGAAAGTAATATAAAATCTCTTTTTAAAAAATAATGCTGGCTCAATGAAATAAAGTGGATACTGAAATAACAACAACAACAAAAATTCCCAAATTACCCATTTGTGGGGAACTCTAGGTAGCACTGAGCCCCATCTACTGCAAAGGACTTAGGATAGAAGTGGGAATATGGAGCAACTAGTTACCTTCTTAAATTTATCCTGTGGCTAAAAAACGGGGTTGTATGAAACAACCAAATATGTTGACTGCCCAAATCTCAACTCTGCCCTGTAGCAGTGTTTTTCAAACATTTATAGTGGAAGACTTTTAAGTTCTCTGGAGAAAGCTGGAGTTAGACTAGAAAATCGTAGCATAGTTTCAAAATCACTTCTTGAAGCATTGTGAGAGATTGGCCCCATCAGAAAAGTTACAAGTTTATTAAATGATTAAAAGCAGAAGAACTATAGCTGAACCATGCTATAAAGGCACTGCTCTGCAAGGGATTTCTTCTACAGCATCCCCTCCCTATCCTAACAAACTGCTGTACACCTTGAGTCAAACTCTCTTCTCAAACTGGTACCCAAAGATACCTGGCCTTGTGCCAAGTGATGTGTGAAGTGATAAGCAAAGGACATCATGGGACAGCAATTTTACTAGGTGGTAAGTAAAACAATTTTGTGGTAATACAAGCCAAACTGTTACAGGGTAAGGTACACATCTTACATGACGTTTTAAAGATGAAATCAGATTTTTGAGGTAGGCCATTTTATGGAAACATTCCTGCAGCAGTAGGAGTCAGAAAAGTTTGAAAAGCAAATAAGGTGCTCATTCCCAGGGAGCTTGTTTTTCTTTGTTGGCTACCTTTAGTTGCTACAAAATCCTCTCTTCTTATTAAACAAAAATCACCTCTCTTAAATGTCCATCATTATAAATTAACTGATTTTGATTGGGAGTAGACTGTTATTTCCAGATACAAGAGACTGATCCCTTGTTAACCGCTCCCTTCCTCCACCCGAATACCCCATGCTTTTCATCCATCCTGATTATAAAGTTGTTGCTGGACCTGGTTCCTATCAGCTTGATGCACTCCAAGGACCCTCAACAATAAGGAGTGTGGTGTGACTAGTTTCTGGGTACTTGGGAATGGGAACATTCCATTATCTGGACCCTTAATTCTATTAATGTGGGAGAGATTATTTCAGTTATTTTACCAGCTTCATCGTAATTAGATTTATGAGCAAGTCACAGCCTCAGCTCTCTTTGACCCAGTACTTAGCCATTCACCCTTTTCAAATTGCAAACCTAAATATAAGAATAAATTTCATACTTATTTCAGCCCAGTTTTCCTCAGATTCTGTTATACATATGTATCCTTTCAATGTCTTCAGTCTTTTATAAGATTTTTGACTAAGCCTTTAGAAACATTTGACTACTTATTAAGTACCCTATCCCATGCCACGCACTGTGCTAGGGCACAGGATACTTTTTAAAAAGTCACAGGAATAAAAGGTGAAAAGTTATGACATGCTAGGAAAAAAGATGTATACAATGATCCATATAGTAGAGGAAATTGGCTAGTTTAAGGTGATACTCAGGCTAGCAGTGAGCCCTTACTTAGTGCCAGCCACTGTTAGGAGCACTTTACAAGTACTCGCAGGTCCCTCAACTCTGTGAAGAAGGTTCTATCATCAGGCAGAGAGAAGTTAAATTTTCCCAACATTACACAGCAGACTGTGGTGAAAAAGCAGGAGTTGATTGGGCAGATTGACTGGAGAAGCTTTCTACAGTGGGAAGAGTATACACAATGCCTTGTGGGAAGCACCACAGGGCATTCAAAGGGGGGTGAAAGAAAGCTGGTAGCTCTGGATGAAAGATTACAGTGGGGAGAAGGATTAGTAGGGGGAGCGGAGGGGCTAAAAAGATAGGGGCCAGCCCCCACAGCCTGGTAAGTCACAGAATTTAGGTATTCTAAGAGTAATGTAAAATCATCATTAAGCAAGAGGCATGATAAAAGATTTATGCTTAAGAAGGATCACTAGTTGGTAAGGCTGAGGCCAGGAAATGGCCTTTGGGTTTAGTGATGTAGAGGTCACTGGTCACATCGTGTGAAGCACTGAGACAAGAGATGCTGAACAGTTTGGTCCATGAAGTGCATGGAATCGAGAGATGCTTGGCCGCTGAAACAGACGGGAGTTGGCAATGACTTAGATGACAGAGTTTGGGGAGAAGGAAGTATCAAGAGCGATTTCTAGGTTTCTGAATTGTAGAAACTGATGAATGGAAGTATCAGGAAAAAGGGAGAGAAGCAGACATAAAGTATGGAAGGTGATGAGCTCAGATGCTGAGTTTTTGTTGCGACTTCTAAATGACTCTCAAGTAAGGCAGTGGGAAATACTAATCTGGAGTCCGGAAGAGAGGACCAGGCTAAAGATTTGAGTTCTCTTCCTGTTTTGCTGGTTATTAAAGCAGCAGTGAGGACGAGGCTACCTGGAGGGTCTGGAGTTAGAACGGCCTGAGGCAGTGCTGTGGAGCTGCAGCATTCAGTGGGCCCGTAGTGGAAGGTGAGCTTGCAAGGGAAACAGAATAACTGCAGAGGTAGAAGAAAGCCTTGTGTGTTTGCTCAGAAAACCTGAGGAAAAAGATTTCAGTGCCCAGTGATGCTGCTGAGAGAGGTCCAGGAAGGTAAGGACAGAAACTGTCCTTTGGGTTCAGTGATGTGGAGGTGACTGGCCACATTAGTGAGAGCTGTGTCGCTGTGGTAATACAGGCAGGAACGAGAGTAGACTGAGGAACAGGGGCACAGTATGAAGCCAATGGATCTGATCAGTTTACTCATTAGGTTTCTATTTTTTTCTGAAGGGCGGAGGGTAGGATGTTTACAAAAAAGACCATACATGGGGAGATTGGTGGGGGAAATCCAGTCAGAAAGACGTTGAATACACAATAAGTGATCATCAATATTCTAAGTTATGGAGAGAATCCAGTGCATAGGTGGCAGGATTGGCCATACTCCTTCAGTGAGCAGTTATTTAATGAAGCAGCTAGTACACGCCAAATTCTGTAATAGATGCCACGAATACAGGAGTAAACAAGCTAGTCACAATCCCTGGCCTTTAAGAGCTGCATTCTAAGGGCAAGAGACTAGCAATAAATGTGTAAACAAAAGATAATTTCATTTGCTGTTAACTGCTATATAAAAAATGGTATAGGGAGTGAATAGGGGAGAAGGTTTTTGAACTGTGTTCAGTGCCAACATTTTTTTTATTGTGGTAAAATACACATATGTTTTACCATCTTAACCATTTTTAAATGTACAGTTCAGTAGTGTTAAAGACATTCACATTGTTGGGTAACCAATCTCCAGAACTTTTTCATCTGGCAAAACTGAAACTCTATACCCATTAAACAACAGTCCACTTTTCCCCCTCCCCTCAGCCCCTGGTAACCACCATTCTGCTTTGTTTCCGTGAATTTGATTATTTTGGGTACTTCATATAAGTGGGACCATAAAGTATTTGTCTTTTTGTGACTGGTTTATTTCACCTACCTTATGGAGTTGTAAATTAATAAAATAATGTAGGTTAGGCTGGGTGTGGTGGCTCACACCTGTAATCCTAGCACTCTGGGAGGCCGAGTTGGGAGGATCTGGGAGGATCGCTTCAGTTCAGGAGTTCAAGACGAGCCTGAGCAAGAGCAAGAGCCCATCCATACCAAAAATAGAAAAAATTAGCCAGGCGCGGTGGCACGCGCCTGGAGGTTGAGGCAGGAGGATCCCTTGAGCCCAGGACTTTGAGTTCGCTGTGAGCTATGATGATGCCACTGCACTCTAGCCTAGCTGACAAGGCGAGACTCTTGTCTAAAAAAAAAAAAGTTAAAAGCATCTAGCGCCAAGCCGATATGACTTACAGCTCCTCTCCCCCATACTTTTTGCTGCTTTTCTGGATTTTTAAGAAATGGCAACATTGTCAGAGTCGGTCACAAGGGCTTTAAAAAGCCTGTTGGTGGCTGGAAACGCTCTTGGTTCCCACCTCTCTGGCAAGACTTGGAAGGGCCTAATTAAAACCTTTTGTCCCTAAAATTCTCCCTCATCTATTGGCCAAATTTCCAGCATCTGAGCTCCAATTTGTGGCTTCACGTTTTGAGCCTTGCTAAAAATCAAACTGCATCAAAAAGTGTGGTCCTATTACCGGTCCTTTGGGTCTGGTTTGGGACTAGGTTTGGTCGAGGCGGCTGAGCGAGTTTGCGAGCGCGCACCGCTTCTCTGACCTCCGCCCCCGAGACCCAGCAAACCCTCGGGATTGTGCAGGCCGGCAGGGCGGCCAGGCGGGAAGGAAACCCTCCCTGGGGCGCGGCCCGGCCTGGAGCCCGCCCCTGCCGGAGAGCCCCGCCTCGTCTCCCCGCCCCGTCCCCTCTGTCCCCGCGCTCCTCCGCTGCCCGGCCGTCCCGGCGACATGGGCTCCGCGTGGGAGCTGGAGGCCGCGCCGGGCGGCTCGCTGCTGCTGTGCGCCGCGCTGCTGGCGGCGGGCTGCGCCCTGGGCCTGCGCCTGGGCCGCGGGCGGGGCGCGGCGGACCGCGCGGCGCTCGCCTGGCTCTGCTACGACGCCCTGGTGCACTTCGTGCTGGTAAGTGCCGCCGCCTTGGGCAGCGAGAACGCGGGCGGCCGCTGCCTCCCTGGGGATCCTCCCCCCACCCCGGCGGGAAGCGACGGGGGAGGGGACGGGGTGAGTCCAGACTCCGCTGAGGCGGGAAGTCTGCCCGGACCCGGGAGGTACCTGGAGCCCGCGGCGCTCGTGGCCTTGGGCCAGATGTCGCCGTGCTCCGAGTTCTGATTCCCACGTCTGTGCACAGAGCGCCGCTTGCCTGGCGCTGCCGATTCCTCCACCAAACTTGAAAACGGTTCTGTACGTGTAATGGTAGTTGGCGAGATACTGAAGAGGACCTTGGCTTCGTCGTCTCTGTAACCAGCACATAAATGTTGAACCGAAGATAGACAGTGAAGATCGTTTGTGAGTGTCCCAAAGGGAGCAAGGAGAGGTGATAGGCTACTGCGCAAAGTCCGAGGCCTGGACCAAGAAAAACAAACAAAAAACCCCAAACCTGCACATTGAAGTGTCATGCACATTGCTAAGTCTAAAATTTCTAATCTTAAAAACAATAGGTGACTTTCCAGTGCCACACAGCTGGCTTGATTATGAGTCAGTTTAGTCTGGGTCCAAAGCTTGCGCTCTTTATATCACTCCAGGCTTTAGGAAACATGTAGCCTTGAAAATTCAACCCACTTTATAAAATAGCCAGGAGAGCTGCATTTAAGGGAATTCTACTGAAGTATCCGTCCCACCCACAAACACACACACACACTTCTTTTAAGTTTTTTAGAAACTATGAAAACGTACCTTTTTTTGCAAATTTGACCTTTCTTAAATCTTAAATCTAAACAAGCCTGTGGCTAATGTGAAGCCAAAGTCTAGTATTGAGAAAGCAAGCAAGCAGAGTTTCTGTAATCATCTGGGTCTCTAGGTGTTTACTGGTTGGCTATATGCCCATGCCTGGTGTTGCTGGAATGATGAAATTCCTTCTTTTCCAATAATCAGTGTATGGAGATAAGGGACAGTGACTATTTCTTTCAACTCCTTTATTTATAGAATTGATTTTTAAGCTATCACTTGAACACAAGGTCTCCCAAAGAACAGGGGAGGTAAACAGGTTGCTAGGCCCACTCAAAGAAAAATTTATTGTAACATATTTTAGACATACAAAAAAGCTGTGAAAATACTGAAATACACGCCTGTATGTTCACCACCTACTTTAAGATTGTCTACTTTTCAAGCACAGATTGTTACAAGTAACAGGACACACAGCCTCATTTGTGGCACTGTGAGGTGTGGTTTGGTTGGTATGTGGAGTCACTGCTCTGCTCCCCAGCCCCCCACCACCTGTTTCTGAAGGAAATGTCCCCCCCACAGCCCCATATTGTGCCATTTACCTGTCCCCCGCTGCCAAGTGTTCCATTGTGTGAAGACACCATACCTCAGTTCTCCAAGTCTAAGATGCACATTTTTTAATGTATTAGAACAATCAGTGACATCATATAACCACTGTGGGCCATTTGATTGATATTTTAATGTCTCTGAAATTGGGATGTATCTTATAATTGATGATGAAATGTGATCATTTCACCAGCCCTTATTAATGGATACATTTTTCTTATGCTATTACAAACAATACTTCCACCAACATCTTTGTACACATATCTCAGAGACCAATGGGGAGGGCACTTGAATCTTCAGGAGTTGAGGATTGCAAGAAAAATACATGCCCATTTTTATCTTTGGTTCAGAGTTTATTGCAAGAGTACCCAGAAATGCAGAACGAGCTACAACTGAAATGTAGAGCCTCAAGGAGACCCAAAACTACAACTCCCTTGTTCCCTGAAATGTGAGTTGCCTCTCCTTACCCCGTACGTTTGACTTCTCAGATGGGAGGACCTGTGTTGGTTTTTGGCTGCTATCAAATTCACAGCTCCCTTGTTGGACAGAGTTTCAAGCCAAGCATTCCCAGAGGCAGTTCACCTCCCAGATGTCCAGTTAGAGTGTGGTCACTGTGGGCTCCAGCAGTGGTCTTCTGTTCAGCTCATGTGGCTAGAGGGGAGGGCAGACCGACTTCCCTCCAGTGCACCTGGTAGGAGTTGTGGCAGCGTACCTGAAGAAATAAATCGTGACTCACCATGCTCAGAGGTCACTATGAGTGTGCCAGGCACTGGTGCTTCATGGGCTTTTCTCCCTTCTGCAATCTAAGCATAGCATTCTAGGCGTGGCCAGAAGTAGGAGGCAGGATATGTCTGCCTATGTATGGGAAACATCCTGAAGTCCAGATTGACTGGAGCACAGGGTTTACATAAGGAAGCAGTGGGAGGACCAGTTGGATAGGTGACAGGTAAGAATTTGAATGTTATTCTGTAGTAGGAATCCGGAGGAACTATCTCAGTCCCTTGTTTTTTTTCTTCATAATACTAAACACGATTTCTAACTATTCTATTTTATTTTATTTTTCTTCTTCTGTCTCCAGGACCTGGTATGGCACCTGGTTTTTAGGAGCTATTCATGTATTTATTAATACTGAATGAATGGAAGAATGATTCCTTTTAATTTATAATAGTTATCAGTCATTTATATTTTTAAGTCTCAAATTGTTCAGATACCTAAAGTGTCAGAGTTCTTTTTCTATCTTAATCATAGTTTTTTAAAACAAAATTTGTTTAAATTGCATATTTTCATGATCATTGTAAAAAGATATAACATATATGAAAAAGGAAGAAAAGATAAAGTTACCTAGAAAAAATTGTTAGTATTTTAGCAAATAGGCTTCTAGAATTTACGTGAAAATATATATCCAGGTAAGTATTTGTCATTATGCTTTTTACAAAAATGGAATCATACCGTTCATTCTTTATTGTTTTTACCATTTAACTGTGTTCTGTGACCATTCCTATCAGTATCAATTGAACTATCTCATAATTTTAAATCAATCTCTAATTGTTGGACTTACAGGTTCTTTCCTGTTGCTGGCAGTTATATAGAATGTTCTCTGTGTATTTTTATGCAGTTGTCTAATTATTTATTCAGAATAAATCTGACAGTAGAATTGCTGGGTCTAAGGGAAGTCAGTTTTTTGTTGTGTGTTTTTTTTTTTGTGACGGAGTCTCGCTCTGTTGCCCGGGCTAGAGTGCCGTGGCATCACGCTAGCTCACAGCAACCTTAAACTCCAGGGCTCAAGCAATCCTTCTGCCTCAGCTTACTGAGTAGCTGGGACTACAGGCATGTGCCACCATGCCCGGCTAATTATTTCTATATATTTTAGTTGTCCAGCTAATTTCTTTCTATTTCTAGTAGAGACAGGGTCTCACTCTTGCTCAGGCTGGTCTTGAACTCCTGACCTTGAGCAATCCTCCTGCCTCGGCCTCCCAGAGTGCTACGATTACAGGCGTGAGCCACCGCGCCTGGCCGCTGGGCTGGGAAGTCAGTTTTTAAAGACTCCAGAAAGGTGGTACCCATTTATGTTCTTATCAGCTGCTTTCTCACTCCCATGCCAGTGGTAGGTATCATTATTGTATCAGATACCTCCTTTGTACCCACCTTGGGTCTTTTTGGCCTCATCTGACCCTTGACAATATGATCTGTTCCAGCTACCACATCAGTGACCAACTCTGACTTCGTTTGGATCTAGCCAGCCAGCACCTGCTCTTACCTCCCGCACCAGGCTTCCTTGATGCCACTGGGGCATGAAACCCTCGGGCCCTGCTCAGGGCCCCCACACATTAACTTTTCATGGTGGGATTTGGGCGCTACTGGATAGATTTTTCTTCCTTCTTCTCCCAAGATGGACTCCCCAGAGATGTAGTCATTCCTACAGTCTCTTGAAAAATTCAAGATTGAAACATTAGTTAGCTTATTACTAAGCGGTATTATCTGAGTTACTAATTTCAGTAATGCAGGCTCATATTTGATTCATCCTCCTGTCTCATTTTTCATTCCCCTCATTCCTGCTTCCTTGGGATAGCAATCCCCATAAAAGTAGGAACATATGATATTATGTTTTCTGGGGGACCCAGGCCAAGATAGCCTTCTTTTTAATAGTTGTATACTATTCCATAGCATGGATATACCATGAACCAACCAGCGGTTTCAGGTTATTTCCAGGTTTTTGTCACTAAAAACAAACAAAAAACTGCAATAAACATCTTTGAACAGATATCTTTACCTCTGTAAGACAAATTTCAAAATTGAGATTCTGGGTCAAAAAGTATATCTAAGGAGACAGAGGTTTTATATCACAAAATGTGTTGCATGAGAAATGGTCCTTTTGTTTCTTTTATTCAAATCAAAATAAATTGAATTGGCAAGCTCCTAACCTACTTAGGAAATTCAGCCTTAGTTATTAGAGGTCTTCTCTCTTTTGTAGGGTCTCATGAGAATATAGGAGATTTAATGATTCGCAGAAAAAGGGGGCAGGGTATCTAGTCTTTGGTCCATCCTGATCACAGCTGATACCCTCATTGACTAAGCCTTCAGTTTTCTTAAAGGAGGATTGCTCTGCTGTTTTGAAGCCAGGCGTTAGGACAGAAATCTGACGCTTAGATCCTGGGGTCTGCCTGTTTATCTATGGGGCAGTTCATTTTTTCCTTATTGATCTATAAGAGGTGTTCATATGTTAGAACAAATAGTTTCACCCACACTTTATTTTGCTTTTTTGGGAGGAGAGCAAGAAAGTGTTGTCT